TACATTCTCTTAGCACCAAGGCATTGAGCTGTAATTCGGTGGAAGGGATACAACATAGAACGTTGGGCTCGGACAGATTCTTATCTAATTATTTTGGAGTGCAGGAGAAGGAAGAGATTCCTGTAAATGTATATATTACTGTATTTCCATTTTTTGAAAATAAAAAAAGATTGTCTCAATTACAAAATATTCACGTTCATGTATTTTCCTCGTGCACGATGGAACACTGTCGTCTATGGCCTTGTAAAATAATTCAAAATAAACACAGGACTAATAACAGCAACAGAAGTGAATACACCACTGTTGGTATGGGAAGGCGAAAAGTTTTAGTTAAACTTTTTATGCTGGACATTGTAGATGTATGCGTTGGTTTAACATGGTTAAATCACAAACTATGAAAATTACGATTACACTTCGGATTGCATAAATATTCAAAGATTGGTTTATTTCAGGCAATGGCCATTTTGAATCAGGACATATCTAAGGACACTGAAGCTGGACAGAGATTCGCCCAAGGTAACAATTGATGTGACAACAATCCATGGCATTTTGTCGTAGATGCAATGAGCATTAACAATAAACATTTTTTATATTGTTGAATTCTTTTATTAATCTTATAAAATTTGGTCAAGCTGATGTTTGTTCTATATGTAGGATACTTTGTGTTTGTATCATCTACACACCAGCTTGTAGTATGATAAGGCAGATTTCATTAGTAATAGTATGCATGTGTTTTTTCTTCAAACAATTTGCTTGTTTCTGTTCAATTGATATGAAACAAATACCTGATGTGATCAGTGTCTGCCTAATGCGAACAGTACATGCATGTTCTGGCTCAGGGCCACCCCCCCCACCCCCCTCTGATAAAAAATCGCACCATTTCATCACATGAACATCTTTGTTGGATTTACCTGGTTGTTTTGATAATAGGTTAACCTGGCCGTCTGAACAAAAGCTATATTTAATTCATGCTAATGTAATACTTGTGATATTTTACAGCTTTGAAGACATGGCATGATTTTATACGTGCCATGATTCAACATCGACGAGATAACCCACCAAATGATGACGATTGGACTTTTATTGATGTTTTGATGGCAAAATCATCGTCCGAAGAAGAACTCATATCAGATGCTACAAGCTACTTCATTGCAGGCTATCATACTACTGCTTTTAGTAATTTTCTTTTTGATAATTGTTCAAATCCATCTACTTGTGACATATGTATGCATTCAAACATATTCACCGTAATTCATAAAATAGTAAAAACAATTTGAGATGTACTACATTGATGCTTGGTCGTGATTTTTTACCTTTGTTTTACTAACATAATGTGTGTATCTATCCGTCCACAGTGATGGTGTGGACATTCTACTATATGTGTGAGAATCAAGAAGTGCAAGAAAAAATTTACCAGGAAATAATCGAAGTTATTGGCAAAGACGAACAAGTAAACTATGTAAACCTGGAATCACTGAAGTGAGTTATTCCATGTTCTCCTATTGTATGGGGTAAATGTAAATTGTTGAAACAAAATAAACTGTGAAACAGTGTTCGATGTATTACATCATGGGTTTAGCTCTAAATTCTAAACTTGACAAATGCGCCTCGCCACTGTAGGTAGACGCGCTCCTCTTCTGTGTTATGCCACCTCGCACTATCCCTCCAAAAGACAGCTATATGGTGTATAGTGAATGCACAGTGACTAGATGGGCATGGGCAAGTCCGAACAACGTGCAGAATATAATTCTGCTTACAAATAAAGTCGTATAATCACGGTTACTACGACCTACTTAGTTAAGAACTACCTCGAGGATATGATATGATATGATATGATATGATATGATATGATATGATTGAATTTGAATGCTGTCTTCCCTTGGTTCTTGAAGTTCTACCAGATATTGAATGACCGATTCTCTGTACATAGTATTAGTATGCCATGGAATGTGTCATCATCGAATTTAAATTATGTCAAAAACAATAATGTTAATACTCAATGCAATGAAATCATTCCATGGGTTAAACTTACCAGATTTTTGTCAGATTTATAGACTGCTGAATAACGACTTGTATCACATTTGCATCGAATTCATTAGGTACATGAGATGCGTGTTTGACGAGTCTATGAGATGTTCTGTTTTGGCGCCATTTGCTGCCAGGGTCAATATGCATGCAGACATGGTGGTACAGGGCTATACCATTCCAAAAGGGGTAAGTATTTCAATGTCATTGTCATTGGCTTTATACTCACAATTATGAAGTGCGTTACTCGTCGGAATTTAAAGATCTTCCTTATTAGATTATTGTAATTTTTTGTTTATTCGATGGTGTTGTTTATGTATATCTCTTGACAAAGAAGAAACATTTGTTTTTAACCACCATTTTTCTACCATTCGTATTTTGATCTTGTGAATCCTTATCATGAATTTTGATTTCCAGTTTACACAACAGTAAGCATTTCAAAAGTCTATATTTTCTGATACTATTCTTCTTGTATCTGTAGACACCTGTAGTGCATGCATTGGGTGTTGTACTAATGGATGACGAAATATGGTCTGAGCCTGAAAGGTACATGATATATTGATCGAATAATGTCTAGCAACTGTAAATAATAATAACAACATTTGATTTACTTTAGACAAACCTCACGAGAAAATAAATATATATTTTCTCTAATGTTGTGCTAATTCGCATATACAATTTTTAATAAAATGTATTGGAATCTTGATTATTTTAAAATATTTAAACTTATTGGCCCATACAATGTGGCATGGACGTTACTATGGAATCAAAATGCAGGAGTAATTAACATACAACAAACACAAATAATCCCTCATCTCTACAACCCTCGTGCTGTTGAAACAAACATTGTAAAGACTTATCAATCTCATATCAAATGATATCTGGATAGATGTTAAGTATGTGTAAACAACTGTGTACACGAATTTGTATAGCAACACGAGTATTATAGATAAACCAATTTCACCAAATAACTTGACACAAAAGCTGGCCCACAAGGAATTCAACTATTTTCTATTTGACTTTGCACCAGTTGGCTCCATTCAGGCAACGAGACATGCTTTTATCAAATGTACAAATGAAATATTTCAAAATTGATGTTTTTTCAAGGCTCTGTCAGACGTTACTAAACATTTAGTAATATTGTTTTTTAAAAGGTTCTGATTGCATGTCATATCATGTAGTTTATATTTATTTTCCCAGATTCATTCCAGAACGATTTTTGCCGGAAAATGTCAGTACTCGTCACCCGTTTTCATTCCAACCATTCGGTTTTGCTGGAAAACGAAAATGC